TGCTTTACGTGAAAGAACCATGGAGCCAAATTTAAAAAGATATGCTCATGCCAAATAAGAAATAAAATTGCAACATCAATTTTTTTAAACCAAATTTGATTGATCAAGAAATTAGGATTACGTAGAAAACATTTAGATATCTTTATCATTCTCAGTCAGTAAAAATTAATTAAAAAATTGGTCGAAGGTTATTTCAACAGAACTCCCCTCGCCTATAAAATACAGGTGAACAAATAGGTTTCTTCTAAAAATTATAAAATCTAATCTTTTGAATTATATGTTTTAATTAGGTGAACGCTATAAGTTAAAATAAAAATATGTGTGAATTTTTAACGCACAAGTAAAGGAGCATGTTATGTGTATGTTTCAAGTGAGTTTCTCCGAACAAAATTTCGTAATGATGTCACCAACATTTTATCAAAAAACGTGTTTCAATTTGAGTAGGTACAGTCTAATACTAATAATAATAGTACTGTATACTAACATTTTCTGGACAATAAGGTGACTCGTTCTTGATTTGATAAAAAAATCTATTTCCTAATTTTGTGTCACCCTCTATAAGTAATATTAAAAACTATGAATCCATTGATAAACCGCAAGTAACGAGTTTTAGAAAAAAACCAATTTTTTAAGCAGATAAATTTTGATTACGAATTCACCATGCTTACGAATGTAACATATTTGTAGATATCAGAGCATTGTTATTCAATTTTGATTTTTCCCAATAATCTGGATGTCTAGGGTAAACTCTCAGCACGGATTCATAAACCACAAACAGAGAAATACGTTATTTTATAAAATTTAAATTTTATTAACTATGTTAAATTTTGGAGGTACCGTCATTTTGGTGAGGATGATTAGATAATTTTTGATTAGCGTATTACCATCCAAACGATATTTCTAACATACAAAATTTGACAACAATTGGTCCAGTAGTTTCGGAGATTATCTGTTTAATAAAAATTGACACAGACGACAGACAGACAGATAGACAAACAGACGGAAACGGAAGACCTATTTTTTCGTACTCTAGGGGTCATAAAATGTCGAGAAATCCTGAAACCAGAGATTCGTCACCGGCCCTATTACAGTAGCTTACGCGCATGAAGTAAAAATTGAACTATTTTCGACAGGCAGTAAAGAAATGTAGTAGTTCACGATTTTTGACATTAAAGTTTAGTAATAGTTGTATTTGCTATGTTTTAAATTACGTTTCTCTATTCAAGCTAAAAACAATGGCGTTTACGGCATTTCAATTTTTCTATCCAATCCCAGCTTTTGTGGCAGCCTTTTGTCTATGATCCTGTATATCTCTTATACCTAGAAAAAACTCCAGAAGTCATGAAAAACAAATCTTATTTCATTTTGAGGGGAATGCAAATTTAAAACACTTGCTATAATAGAAATATATAATACAAGCAATCAAATCAAGTTGCTTAGAAAAAACAATACATATAATACCAATCACAGTGTAGGAAAAAAAAAGTGGCCCATGAGATAGTATATTCGTATAAATCGCTAGCATACAACTGTGTTTACCAAGCAAAATCTGGCATGATAAGACAAATTTTGGTTAGCGTTTTACATCAATATGATATATGTACTTAAAATACATAGAAAAATGTTCAACAATCGATCCAGTAGTTTCGAAGATTATCTACCAAAAACAAATCGAGACAAACAGAAAGACGATAGATCATATACAGACAGAAACCGGGAGACCTACTGTTCGAACACATTTAAATAAATGGCTACTTTCATGTTTTCTTGACGTTTCATCACCCATAGCGTACAAAAAAATTGGTCTTCTCTTTGTGTCTGTGTCAATTTTTGTTAAATAGATAATCTCCGAAACTACTGGACCGGTTCCTGACAAATTTTATATATACTTTAGGAATATGGTGAATATGGTAAAACGGTAACCAAAATGTGTCAAAAGCGTCCCTTCAAAATTTTTTGTAGCAAATAAGAATTATAAAAAAAATAACGTACTGCTATACTTGTGGTTTATGAATCCGCTTTGAAATTTTTCCAGAGGCATCCAAAGTTTTGCAAAAAAAAAAAATTAAAATTCTACATCATTTGTACTAATAAGAAGCGGAACTCACAAGGATATTCGATTCACTCGTGGATGTTTTTGTTTCTTACACTGTTACTGCTCTTATCTATATTTTTTAATCTATAGAGATTATCACAAATAAAATTTCGCAATATCAAAATTTATACTTTTTCAAAATTTTTGTCAATTGTATTTTTGTACAAGTGATTTAGCACCTTGATGAAATGTAAATAATGTCTGAGACACCAACATTTATGTAATTTGGAACTTCGTGGTTTTTGTGTCAAATTTGTGCCAAATTTCAAAACTTATTTTTTTAAATAATTGGAATATTTCTGTGGAATAAGCAAAAAAAAGTATACCTATAATGTGAGAACTGCAAAATTGACAAGTCCTCTACTTTTTCAAGTAGCGCAGAATAGGAAAAATTAGTGGAAGATTATTTCGACAGAACTTTTCTCGTCTCTGAAATACAATAATGCAAATCCAACTTTTTCGAAAAATTTTAAAATTTGATTATGTGAATTATACTTTTTGTATGAGAATCCTTATAAGTTAAAATAAAGATATCTATGTAACGTAAAACTAAACATAAAAAAACATCCACAATTTTCGGGAAAACGGAGTAAGCCGTTCCCGATTTATTCAATAAAATAAATTGACTCATTCACTAATATTTATGAGTCACCCTGTATAAGAAATGTAAAACTTTTAATGCAGTGATCAATCACATGTATAAATTCTCACATTTGGCAGATTTTGGATAGGATTTATTCAGCAAAATTTTGAGATGACGATAATTACGATAACTTTAAAATATTTACAAGATTTCAGAGCAATCGGTTTTGTAGTTTCAAAGTAATAATGCAAAATGTTGTTATTCAGTTCTGAATTTTTTTCAAAAATTCTTGATGTCTAGGGTAAAAATTTGACACGGATTCATATACCACAAGTGCAGGAGTATCTTATTTTAATAAATTAACAGACAGACAGAGAGACGGAAACGGGAGACCAATCTTTTCGTAAAAATGAGACGCTTCCTGTTAAAACTGTTAAATTAAATTAAATCAAACGCATTATCACGTAACCTTCGAAAAATTTAAATAGAAACGGGAACATTAGGACACCCGGTGTATTCGTATTTGTCCATATTGTTTTCTGCTAATTTTCTGAGTGCTACAAAGGTCTTCGATAATTTTTATTCAACAGCAAATACCGTCGTAGCATCGCATAACTTAGTGGTAATAAGTTAGTGAAACAAAGTACTTTCAAACAAAACCAGCAAGCAGCAATAAATTCGAAATATAATTGACTGTATATTCTCTGAGAGAATACAAATTCACACCCACATAACTAACTGTAGTCGTTATATTTCAAACCATGAAAAGTTTTTGTGTTTGAATTTGCCACAAACCACACTAAACAGTACTGTGGTTGTAATATAAACTAAGTATATCTTGTTTGAACTAGAATTGCGCCAAGACCTCATAAACTTTGCTCGATATATTACTCCACGTTCTTGAAAATGTGTAACTTGTTGTGGAAACAAAATAAACACAGCTTAGTTCAATTCGGTACTATTAATATCAAAATTTGGACAGTTTTCCTTAAATAGAAAAAGTGTTCAACAACAAGGAAGCGAAAAAACAATAAACTGAGCATCCCACTTAACTAAATTTCCGCTTCCAAAAACATGTAATTACTGAGTACCATATTTATTCAACCTTCATATCGCATTTTGCTGGACGCAACATCTTGTGATTACAATAATTGCATGCTCAATGGCAAAGTCAAAATTCAACTAATTAATCATTCGCAGACAATTAATCTTCAGACAAATTATCAGTTAATTGAACACGAAGGCGCACACTTCAACATCCTTGTGGGTGGTACTTTGTTGAAAAAATGAAATATTATGCAAAGATTTCTATCACAAAAGTTTTTCATTTGCCTCGACATGATTTCGGAATAGGTTATTACTATTATTATTATTATTTATTAGACGTAACTGTACATTATTCTGTTGTTTTCATCTGGGAGTCTTACAACAATCTGTTTTTGTTTGAAGGTAAGACAATTCAACTGGAAAACCTCGACAGTTTTTTAAACAGTTGCAGTTATTCAAAAAAGAAAAAAACAACGCTGGAATAATACTTATATAAGTACTGAGCACTTACATAAGTACAACTACATAAATAATAAGTTCTTGGTTATGCGCTTCAAGGACTTTTGTGAAGTATGCTGTCATTTCAACAATCGCTGTTGGTGATCTTTGATTTTTATTCAGTCGATGTCTTATTAGCGAAAATATAACGATCACACCATTAACTTTTATTAAGCAATTTCCTTCAAACTATTTTGAAATTCATAAAAAAACAGCATTAATTAAGATAAAATCCATTTGGAAGTACCTCTCGTTAATTAGGATAATGTTGATTTTGCTACTGTTGACTAAACAACAAAGGGTTTAAGAGCAAAAAATGCCACTGCCATCCATCACACTCACGTTATCTTCCGCGTAGGTGTCTAGATGCTCTCATGTAATATGAACAGTTTCATGAAGTCAGCTTGTGGTATGTGGGTATAAAAGAGCGCCAACAATGTCGAAGGCTTGCCTTTGCCAATCCGCGTTGCAGATAGTGGTTGATCAAGTCAAGGAAATAAGTGGGTCAATGGTTGTGTAAGAATTTGTTGGCAGCTGAGTATTGTTACCACAAATTAATTTACAATTCATATCTGCCCAGTGGAAAACAATAATCTGAAATTAATTCCGCTGGGTTGTCTGGTTATGCACAATGATCCTTTCTTTCCTTGACATTACGCGTACAGCTGAAACCAAAATGTTGGAAGCTACGTCTCGATAATAACAATTTCGTATGCAAGGTTGGATTTGATGATTTTATTGTGTTTCTTGCGTTGTAACTTTTTTTTGTTGTTGCAGGGAATGCTGATTCGGATACAGGCGACCTTTACGGTCGCCATTGTGGCGCTTTTTAGGATAAGTTTAGCACAGGTAAGAATTATCATTTTTATCAAAGTTGAGTTTAATGGTTATTCTAAATTAATACGAGTTTGAAAACTAAAACAGAAATGTCAAGGACGAAGACTGAGCTTTGTTTGATTGAAAGTCGAGCAAACTTAAAAATGTAGTGTGAAGGAAATTTCTCTCGAGTATTTAGACCAAATTGAAAAGATGAGAGTCTGTTGGAGATTTATTCAGCGTTTATTGCCTTCAGACATCGTAAATTGGTATTTGGTTGCAGAGATTTAATAGTTTTCGTCTAGACTGACACATGGTGATAAAATTTTGAAGAAAAATTGATATTTTATTTTACATACAGTTTTATGACCTTGTATGGAAATTTATTGCGAGTGACAGATGTCCGGTGAAAAAACTTATTTTTTATTTAGTAACAAAAGTTTTTAGATCATTAACATCAATTAACATTTTTGTGTTTTATACCTAATAGCCACTTATGTGTAATTATTGTAAACAAAGAACTTAAAGTAATGCAAAATGGCGGTGACCTTGTTATCATGTATATATTACAGTACACGTGTTATTAAAAAAAAAAGATAAATATACCAGGGGAGTCAGCTACAAAAATTTTGACAGATTTGGTCAAAGAAGTGTCAAGTTAAAAAATCAAACTCACAATTATGTAAAAAAATATACATGATTCCAAATGAAACCAAAAATACAATAACAATTTCTGATATAATCAGCATTAATCTCGCATTTTATTGTACGACCAGATCATAACAGTCGACTTAAAATCACACTTTATTTTACGATTTTGTCTCTGATTTTGTTGCTATGCAACCCACACAGAATTAATGTGGATTTCGTCACTAAAATACGACACGATTTAAAAAAAATTCAGATAATAGGAGATTGTAACTATTATGTTATTATTTATTACATCATTTTTTTATAATCTAGTAACGGGTGTATAACAAAAGATATATTTGGAGCAGGCCGCGAAAATTCAGTTGTTTATGGTTTTTTTAGAGTGTAGAAATAAACATTTTCTCGTTTCACCACAAATCGGCTTAAAAAGTTGTGAGGTTAAAATTAATGGAGAATTTTCGCTTTCATTTTTTTATCAATCAGTGTAAAAGTCATAGTTGTTTCACTTAAAATTTGTAAGGTTATGAAAACATCACTCTTGTTAGTGTGCGAAATGTAGATAAAAGTGTGAAGTTTTTCTAACCTCAGCACTGTTAACTGACATAAATCTAACAGTTATATGACGTCAAAGAAGGAAAGAAATTTCATCAAAGGAAGTTTAAAGTGTATCAAAAATAGAGATATTAAAAAGTGCGATAAAAAACCGACCTTGAGAATGGTCGGTCCATCGCCGATGGGATGTAAATATTTTTAGACATTCTATGTTGTGCTCTAATGGAACTTCAACAATTCATTTTAATTTGAAAATTAATTATTGCCAATTATTGAAATTTACAATAACACAACTGTATTTCCCCTTTTTCTACCGTTGAAAACTACCTAACACCAACAAAAAATTTAATAAAATATGAATCACCACGCTGAAATGACTATTGTCAGTCCCAAATTTAATTTAATATTACAATTTTAACTGAATTCAATTAAAAAAGGGTCAAAGAACTAGCAGAGGAGGGAAAAGCAAATGGAAAGGAAAATTCGAAAACGACTTTAGCTATGGATGTGCTAAAAGATATAAAAAAGATAAGCAGGCAATATAAGAGAATGAAGAGCAGAACGGGAAGAAAACGAAAATACTTTTTTGGAATGTCGCCGGACTGAAGAATAAAGAAAATGACTTTGGGAAGTATGCTGTCACGAATTTTGATATCGTAGGATTAGTAGAAACATGAATAGAAGTAAAGAGTGGGAAAAGATGAAAGAGAAAATGACAGGAGAGTTGAATTGGATATGTCAAGGTACAGAAATAGAAACGAAGAAAGGAAAGAATTAAATATGAACTGCAGTGAAGAAGGACAATGGATATGGACCATCCCAATAAAAGGAAACAAATAGCCCATTGAAACGGAATATAGTAAAAACATGACAACAATGAAGGAAAAGATAAAAGACAAAATAAGAATAAATGATAACGACTATGTAATAGAGAAAATGATGGAAAAAAAGATCCAAAGATAAAAATTAATATAAGGAAGGAAAGCAACTGTTTGAATTAGTGAATAAAAATGCACGGAAAGAATTTTCGCAGTTCAAAGTAGGAGGATAGACACAGAACGTATGCTACTGAAGATGGAAATAGAAAAATATTACAGAAAACGAAAAAGACCATGGGAGAAGAGAAGTTAAGGACGCACAATTTCTACTAAGATAAGACCGATTTTGGCAAATGAGAGATCCCGATTCGATGAACTCGAGAAATAAAAAACCCGAAAAGTAAAAAAGTGGAAAAATCGAAAAACTGAAGAACGGAAAAATTGAAAATTGAAAAGTCTGAGAACTGAAGAATGGAAAATTGAAAAATAAAGAGATAGAAAGGGAAACAAATTGCAAAAATTCGAATATCGAAAACTCGATGAATCAAATATTCGAAAACTGGAAATCGCCATTTTTCATTTTATCCATTCTCGAAAAATTGTTGAGTTTTCAAGGAAACGAAGCCGAAACCAACCTGCAAGTCGAATTCTACAAAAAATTGTGATTGATGTAGATCTCGATAAACTGATTGACAAAATTTCCAAAAATTCGGTTTGAAAATAATTTTTTTTCATCTTGAAAATTTCATTTTTCATTTTATCAATTCTGGTAAAATATTGGAAATGATGCCGAAATTACATCTACAAGTCGAAATCTATAAGAGAACGTCTTTCAGTAATTTTCGAAAAGCGATAAAAAATTAGTAGAAAATTTGATATTTTTGAAAAGTTACCTAAAAATCTTGGAAACATTATTGGATAGACATCTAGACGAGTTGATTTGAAATATAATAGTGAATGTTATTAGTTCCAGATCAAGATTTTCCAAAATTTCAGTCCGAAAATGAAATTTTATCATTTCGAAAATCATTGTCATTTCTTATTTTACCAATTCTGAAAAAAATGAAATAAAGTCCAACATAACTCCTTCAAGTCTAAATCAACAAGAAAATGTCTATAGACAATTTTCGAAGGGTGTTCAAAAAATGGTTGAAAATTCATGCACTGAAATATTGAGATTTTCGAAAAGTTGCATACAAATTCTCAAAAAATTTGAGATATAGATCTCGACAAGCTGATTCGAAAAATATAAAATGTTAATAGTCCTGGAGCAAAATTTTCGAGAAATTTGATTTCAGTTTGAATTTTCGAAGAAATAAAGCTGCAAATAACTTCTACAACTCGAAATCTAGACGAAATTGCATTTGGGTAATTTTCGAAAGATGGTCGAAAAACAATGGGATGAATTGGAACAACTGATAAAAGATTCAAAAGTGAAGACAGACATTAGTGTAAGAAGAAGTGGAGGGAGAAAAAATGACTGGTAGAATGAGGAATGATATGTCTTAAAAAGAGAAACAAGGAAGGCATCAAGAAGATGGAAAACCAAAAGATAACAAGAGAAGAGTTCCCCAAAGTCAGAAAAAAGCAAGTAACAAAGGAAGAAGCACAAAAATAAATGAAATTAAATCAGAGAAAGACGTATGGAAGCAAATTAAAAAGAATAGGAAGAGGAAAGACAAGCGAAAAAATTGGTATGAAGACATGGGAAAAACATTTCATGAAATTGCTGTGAGTGATCAAGGAACACTAAAACAAGAAACTACTGAAATAAAAGAAAACGACGAAAATTACAAAGTGGAGCCAATGACAGATGAAGAAGTAAGAAGACAACTAGTGAAATAAAAAGAAAGGAAAAACCAGTGGATGGAAAAAATAAATGGGGACATTTTAAAAAAGAAAAAGATCAGTGAACATCTAATAGACAGGGTAGTAACTTTGGCAAATGATATATACTCTAAGAAAATAGAGGGCGGGTGGGCGGAGCTAGTATTTACTAAAGTGAGACTGCACAATAATAAGAGTAATCACTGGAATAAAGAGAAATCAGTGGGCGGGGTTATTGTTTGCTTACAAGACTCTTAAGAAAAAAGCTAAACTCAGCTCCGCCCACTTTTTTTTTTCTATTTCACTGACTTATTATATTTACTGTACATAGGGAATTGAATTCTATATTGACAAGCGGTAGAATCTAAAATTTGAAACAAAATCAAAAGTAGCCCCTCCCACCCACCCCTATTCCGCTTTGATCATTCATTCTTATTGGCTCTGAAAAATAAATTTCACGAGTTTTTAATTTTTAATTATTCACTTTTCGATTATTAAATTTTTGACGTCTTCGATTTTTCAAACAGCGTTTTTCCAATTTTTCAATTTTTTGTTAGTATTTGCCAAGATAAGACTGAATTTGGCAGATGACATATTCTGTAAGGAAAGTGAGGGCGGGTGGGCGGGCCTAGTACATGTTAAGATAAAAGTAACTTTGGCAAATGATATATACTCTAAGAAAATAGAGGGCGGGCGGGCGGGTCTAGTATTTACTAAGGTGAGACTGCACAATAATAAGAGTAATCACTGGAATAAAGAAAAATCAGTGGGCGGAGTTATAAGACTCTTAAGAAAAAAGCTAAACTCAGCTCCGCCCACTTTTTTTTTTCTATTTCACTGACTTATTATATTTACTGTACATAGGGAATTGAATTCTATATTGACAAGCGGTAGAATCTAAAATTTGAAACAAAATCAAAAGTAGCCCTCCCACCCTCCCCTATTCCGTTTTGATCATTCATTCTTATTGGCTCTGAAAAATAAATTTCACGAGTTTTCAATTTTTAATTATTCACTTTTCGGTTAGTCAATTTTTGACGTCTGAAGGCTAGTAGCTGCTAAAATAAGACCGATTTTGGCAAATAACATACCTTCCAAGAAAAGAAAGGGTGGGTGGGCGGGGCTAGTAGCTGCTAAGATAAAACTGATTTTGCAAATGATTACTAGTCCCGCCCACCTATCCTCTCTTTTTTTTAGAAGGTATTTCATTAGCTAAAAGTAGTCTTTTCTTAGCAGCTATTAGCCCCGCCCACCCGTCCACTCCTTTCTTAGAGGATATGTCATTTGCCAAAATCAGTTTTATCGTAGCAGCTACTAGGTAGGATAGAACTGATTTTGGCAAATGACAATACCCTCTAAGAAATGAGGGTGGGCGGGCGGGGCTAGTAACTGCTACGATAAGACTGATTTTGGCAAATGAAATACCTTCTAAGAGAAGAGAGGGTGGGTGGGCGGGGCTAATGCCTAGTAAGATAAGACTGATTTTGGCAAATGAATTCCTTCTAAGAAAAGAGAAGGTGGGTTTGGCTAGTTCCTGCAAGGAAAAGACTGATCTTGGCTAATGAGATACCTTCTAAGAAAAGAGAGGATGGATGGGCGGGGCTAGTACCTGCTAAGATAAGACTGATTTTGGCAAATAAATGACATACCCCCTAAGAAAAGAGAGGGTATGCCATTTGCTAAAATCAGTTTTATCTTAGCAGGTACTAGCCCCGCCCACCCACCCTCTCTTTTCTTGGAAGGTATGTCATTTGCCAAAATCAGTTTTATCTTAGCAAGTACTAGCCCCGCCCACCCACCCTCTCTTTTCTTGGAAGATATGTTATTTGCCAAAATCAGCTTATCGTAGCAAATAAAAATCCCACCCACCCACCCTCTCTACAACAGTACAACAGTACAAAAAGACAACGATCAATGTAATGGTGAATGGGAAAGAGAGCCAAAATTGTAATACGATAAAGGGGTAAGACAGGAGTGCCAGCTGAGCCCCAGTCTTTTCGCTCCTTATTTGAGAGATCTTGAAGAAATATTTAGTAAACTATAATAAGGAGGAGTAGTGATTGAAAGAAAAAAGGTTTGGCTGTTGGGATATGCGGATGACATTGTTGTGATAGTCGAAAGAAGAAAGGAAAGAAATGATTAGAAATCTTGAAAGATATATGAGAAGAATAATGGTTATACGGAAAAGAGGTGGAAGAAAAAAGAAAGAGTTTAAAAGTGGGGGCACAGAAAAATAGAGGAGGTGAAGGAATTTGAATATCTTTCTAATATGCGAAATCTGGAGGGTTCGACATTCTTGGGTATCGAATATAGGTATATATGGGTATAAAATATTTGAGGGGGCACTGTCGAAATAACCTCGTGGGTCAGCCACTACTGGATACTTGAAATGGACACTAGGTCTTGATAAAGAAACATCGGGGTATATTGTGAAGATTCAAGAATGCGTCAAAGAGAAAAAGAAGGACTACGGACAAGAACTTTGGAAAATGGAAGGAAATAGAAAGAATGAGAAGTCAAAGAAAACAGGAGGGAAGAGGAAACGTTACAAATTCGTGATTCATTGATAAAACAGATTTGTTAATTCGCGTTCTAATATCTCTAGATTCCATATAATCTTGACTGCACCAAATACAACTGAATAAATCCACACTTAACACCACGTCTGTGTCCTTATTGTGTAAATATGTATGTCTTCCGCAATGATTGTGATTTCAAGACCATTGTTGTATAGTAGGCTGTAGAATACTTAACACTGGTACATACATAAATACCAAGAATCTAGAGATGAAGGTCAAGAAACTTATCATTCAAAATCACTAACGCTGAATCAATCTCCTATTTGCCTATTGTATTTCATTGTGGTTATGATTGTCGTTAATTTAAATGTTTGAACTAACCCAGAATTGCAAAAGTTTCGTTAAATGAGAACAGTTTTAGTTTTGCAATAGTCAAATATTTTAAATATCCACTTGGTTGTTTCATAACGGATTGTTTAAAATTAAATGTTTACTACGCTTGACCTGAGTTAAGGATGCAGTGAAACATTAATGACAAAGAACCCATGCACATATGAATGAACGCCGGTAAATAATAATCTTTATTAGTTTTCATGATAGCACAGCTGTCAGCACAACGTTTACTTTTAAACCGGTGTTTTTCCATTGTAAGTTTTTCGTAGCACTGCAATCTTACCTCTTATCACTCATACGTGTTAATATAATCCCAAAATTTTGTTCCAGAATTCGACTAGTAATTTATTCACATGCCCCAATGGTAAGTTTTTATTTTAGTTTTACTAACATCTACACTAACTGAAATCCTTTAATCGCTAGTTTCTAAAGTTTAAATTCCGTAGACACATTAAAGAATGTGAAGCAATAAACTCCATCTTTTGTGTGTAGCACGTAGACACCCTGGGCAATGGAAAATTGCAGTTCTTATTACAGTTTACACCGTTGTCCATTTGTAAGGGTTTTTGCATTACATCGTTCCAGATCCTTTAAAGTACTAGTACTTCCGGGAGCATTGTGATATTCATAAGTGTCCATGTTCATAGTTCCAACTCCAAAATCTACACTTACTGATTCATAGACCACCTAATTGCTTTATTTTCTGCCTGGAATATTAATATTGGAAATAGAGTGTTTTAGATTGCTTTTCTGTGTTAAAATTCCTGACCTACTTAAATTGGTAATTTTAATATGAATTAAGACAAGACATTAAATGTGCGTGCTCTTTGTAGTCATTTCAAAAAGATTCTTATTTTGACACACTTAACAACTCATAGATTATCATGCAACTCATACTGCGATGCGAGACATTTTAATAAGTACGAATATAACCGTACTGATTAACGGTAATACTGAGGAAGGCTATTGCTAAACCAAAGGCAAACCGTTCGGCTGAATCATTCGTTCCTTCATTAATGAAGGTAAACAGTTTTCTTCGGACAGGAAAGTAAATACACCGTTTAAAAAGTTGAAGGAAACGAGAGCTTACTGATAAATTCTAATACCCGTACAACCATTAGCTACACAGTACGAGTACTTAATCTCGTTAATTTTCTCTCCATCTCTTTTAATATCTTTGTCAGTTCACAATATGCAATTAACCTATCAGTGGAAAGTAGCTTGTTTCTCTACGAAAGTAAACAATCGATAGTTAATTTATTAAGAACAACAATTAATAAAATAAAAAAGTAACCAGTAAGTGTTACGCTGAGTAAGAAATAAGATATTTAGGAGTGTTCGTGAGTCACACCGTATATACAGAGTGATCGATTGTCCATACAACAATGCAACCATTACGAAAATTACCTGTTATACCAACCTTGCCTAATTAATAAACTGGTAAGTTACTATGATAATCGCAGCAGCCTTCAAATTAACAACTAAACATCCAATAGGAAAAGAAAAGTAGATATGCGATTTTTTTGCATTACAAACCTACACGCTGCAAGTTTACGTAAAAAATGTCAGGGCCGTTCGATGGTCACAAATCTCTCTGATTTCATTCAGTACGTAACTGCTCCACCTGCAGAAAATTACACCAAGTATGAATAATTTATATTTTGCAAAGAAACTAGGAAATCAGTTTCTGTAACGAATCTAAATTTGTAACCTTAGAAGTACAGTTTCGATACAACTGTTTTTTTGATCGCTGACCTGTTACAGTTAAGATAGGTGCTGAAGTAATTGAATTTATTAAGTCGGAGTTTTTTCTCTAATAACTGGTGGTTAACGAAGCGTTAATGTAACGCATCTTCCGCAGACACAGTAAGCGTGTTTACCTGGTAACGTGTGAAGCAGGTTGGTGATTGTTTCTCTGAGTACCAATCGATGGTGATTCATGTATGGAATTGTGACAGTGTGACAGAAGATGCTTTTACACGGAGAGAATTATTAATTTTCTCTTGCGTTGTTGCAACTTGCGTGGGTTTTGACGATTAGGCGTAACGCAGCTACTGTGGAATAAAATAACGTTTAATTTCAGTAATTATGAGCATCACATGGAGGAGTTGCCTATAATTTACGATTTCTCATAATTTATGAAGCACTTCGTGTAAATGCTACTTTAATAATATGCGATCGTCAGACGAATAACAAAATACAAATATAGTTTCGGTTTTCAAATAATGAATATTGACTGATTAGTAAGACTAACGTGTTCGATGGTTAAACTGCAAGAACGGAGGATGTAATTTAGTGTTATAATCCTTATAAGAGGTCCGTGAGGTTCACCAATCCATTACAATAATAGACATATAATAGACATATATTACACATCTCAAATGTTAGTCAAAGGTTAATTATGCTGTATTACATATCATTATAAGAATTCCCTCGTTGCTGAAGTTACAGGAAAAATATAATTTAAGGTTATGTCGAAACGAAATTTAAAAACTGCACGTTAAAAAGCATTTCTGGTGAACTTGGATCAACTACCATTAAAATGTTTCTGGTATCAAGAGAAAATAAATTTCTAGCGTATCGCTTAAGTGACAGCCCCATTTAAAAGATAGATGTCATAGTTGGTATGGACGTGTTAAAACTATGGAGAGTCTGCTATTTAGCTTTCACTAACAATGTGTTTAGGTGTTTAAAAAAATTACACGATAATCGATTTAACTCTCAAAAGAAAATTTTTGTCTGATGAAAATAATTATAAAAAATATCAGTTTACGCATTTTGTGTGGTGTCATTAAAGGATTTAGAGAAATTCATGATTTCCGCTTGATTAAGCTACTTCACATTTTTTGGAAATTTTCGTTTATGTGTTTTTTTGAATTTCTAAGTCGACATACATTAGTCACTTCAATTGTTAATTTTTGAAATTCCGCCGAAATTCTAAAATGCGTTCAATTGACATCGTAATTGTTTAAAGTGACACTAACTTGAAGTGAACTATAATTTAAATTGTAAATTTCGAAAGCTACTGACTTATGTATAAAAATTACCTAACTTGTCGATTTAGTAGGTAGAAATTATAAATATTCTCCAGATATATTTGTATATTAAATCTGTATATATTAGAACAGTGTCGGATTGAGGACGTGGGGGTCCACTGGGAAATTTACAAAGTGGGGCCCTGTAGTACTGTATACAGATGTTATTTGACTATTATTACTATTATTATTTTCAGTTTTGCCGGCGACATTGGCGTTTTGAAAAAGTTATGTTGTTTTTGGAATTTTGATGACGCTACCAAGAAAAACAAAGCTAGATAAAAAATTGTGGAAGATTATTTTGACAGTTCCCTCGTCCTTGAAGTATAGTCCGATAAATTCCGCTTCTTTAAAAAATTATAAAATTTAATTTTGCGATTTTTGTTTTGTAATAACCTCTATAAAATGGCGTAATTACATCCCCACAACTCCTGCATCTTTAAGTATGAAATATATTTAAACTAGATAACTAACGGGAAAAAATATAGACATTCTCAATTTCTCAGTATATGCTTAACTTCGACTGTTTATGTTTATACTTCGACCGAATTCGACTTTAGCACGTTCAGATTACCAGCATCAGCGGTTAAAAGAAAATGAAATTTGGCCACAAAACAATCTTAAAATATCATGATGATTTCATCACATTTGGTTTTTACAATTTTTTAGTTAGATTATAAAATATTGTTATACAATGTTGATTTTTTTCCAAAAATCTAGATGCCAAGGGTAAAAAGTCAACACGGATTCATAAATCACACATGCTTAGTACCTGCTAAGATAAAACTGATTTTGGGTAATGAGATACCCTCTATGAAAAGAGAGGGAGGGCGGGTGGGGCTACTAGATGCTAAGATAAGTTTGAGCACCTTCAAATTCTTTCCAAACAGGAATACCTATACCCTATACCCCCAGAATTGTTTTAAATAATTTAAAAAAAAATCTCCATGGGTTCCCAAAATAATACACTAATTAAAAAAAAAAAACTGCGGCACTCAAGACTTTTTCAAATTCGTAAAATATAAAACACTGAAAGCTCAAAAGATTTTTTCAAGTTCATCCAGCAACAAAACACCAGATTCCTGTAAATTTAGATTATTTTATAAAGTTTAAAGAACATTTGTTGGGTAAAATTCCAAAATGACGTCATAATTTGTTGGGAAGGCCTTATTCGAACAAATTTTGATGAACGATATTTTCATTTTTGTTATAATCTTAAAACGTTTGAAATATTTCGGAACATTCGCTTCGGCCATTTTAAACTTAAATTGTAAAATACAATTTTGATTTTTTTCTCAAAAATCTTGATGTCTAAGGTGAAAAGTCGACACGGATTCATGAATGACACATGCAAGAGTGTGCAATCCTATAAAATTAAATATATATGATACCAAAAAAAAGGGCAAATTAGTAGCAAGTAAAATGGTGCATTACACCCCATATTTTTTTCCATCTATTTAAAAGCTATTTTTTACCTGTTTTTTAATCTTTTTAAGCTACTGTATAACTTTTTTTTAAGCAAGCAGACCAATTTTGACGTTTGTATTGCTTTTTTACAAAATAAAAAAAATCAGTTTAGAAATTTCATCTAAAAGTCATTCAAATGAGAATCAACAATGAAATGCTTTTGAAATCACCAAAATTTATATTTGGTAAAAATTCTAAAATTATATCATTATTGTTTTAGAGGGCAATAAATGAAAAAAATTTGATTAATCATTTACCACAAAGTTAAACTGCAACTTTAATTTTTTTTCCAAAAATCTGGAGGTCTAGATAAACACTTAACATGGGTTCATAAACCATCTTATTTTATGTCATATAAAATTTGACAATTGGTTCAGTAGTTTTGGAGATTATCTGTCTAATAAAAATCCGGACAGACGGCAGACAGACAGACGGACGAAAATGGGAGACCTGTTGTTTCATACTGAGTTTACACTGTAATAGATGCCCTCATTTAATATTTACATATATGTATAGTTTTTTATGTGTCTGTTATATTTTTAGGAACATTTACATTGCATTTGTAATTGTAACATCCTGGATATGTGAATAATGTAAATAATTGTATAAAAAAAAAGAAGTAGACTGGTTTTGATATAATTTTTACTTCTCGAGCCTAAGCTAGGAAAGTATTGTAATAGGGTCCATCCGCCGAACGGCTAAATTCATGTTATCTCGACGTTTCATGATTCCTAGAGTATGAAAAAGAGAATTCCCATTTCCGTCTGTCTGTCGTCTGTCATTTGTGCCATTATTTATTAGGCAGATAAATTTGTCTAACCATATGGTGACGTCACCTCAGAATCTTCATTGTAAATGTTAT